TTACATCTTGATGTAACATCAAGTCACCTTCTCTGAACAGACCTCAGCCCGTGTCTAACCTCTGCAGCCCATGAGCACTTTCAATTCATCCTTGGCCTGGCTGAACACTATTTCCATTATATTGCAGCTCCAAGATCTCAAGATAAGACTCAGCACACATCATTTCCTATATTTCCGTGCACTCATGACAAGAAATCCAGGTCTACAAGCAGCCAAAGGACCATGGCATGCTCCAAACTGTTTGCAGGGTAGATGTCTGGAGAACCAGCATCCCAGGAGCTGCTACACTATGCGCCTACACAAGCTATATGTAACTCCTGGCACTCTTACTTAAAGCACGCCTGTACTATAAAGATAATGGGCAATGAACTTATACAAGTAAAGCCTGAGCTCTGTGAGTTTGCTTTTGAAACTCTGCTCTCCAGAGATCTCTATTCCTAAAGTGCTCCTCTACTAAATATGTTCAATTCTTCTAAATTTGCCAAGACATAACAGAAGATACCCAAACAGTCTCCCCTTTGAAAATTATAAATGTACAGTCATTTTGCATCTCTTCTTATTTTTCTCCTTAACTATGAAGGAAAAAAAAATAAAAAAAAATGTATAATTTGCAATCAGATACACTTTTTATAAGCATGAAGGTCACGGGTTTTGGAAATCTGTAAATACAATAGTTTTTAATTCAGTCTTCATGAATTTATGAGCATTTATCTCAAAGCCTTTAGTTTTGGCAAAGTCTTAATGAAATACACAAAAATTTGCAACAATATAAACCATGATATCTCTAAGGATATTAAAGAAAGATCCTTCATTTACCAGTCTGCATTTTCATTACTTGTATATTTTTACCTAATTTTTTAAAAAGAATTGACACAGAAGGTATTACACAAAACAAGATCTGTTACACACACTACTATAATCGAAGGAAGAAAGATTACATTAAACTGTATAATATATATTCTTCTCACCAAAAGCTAAGCAATAGAGCTAACAGCCATTGGCACAATCATACCATATCATTATGTCTCAGCTTAGCTATTTCCCCAGCCATGCTATGCTTATTTGTATTTTGATGGAGTAGTTTCATATCAATACTCTTTGCCCCTTCTTGAAACATCTTTTTGAATGCAACAGTTGGTATTCCAGCATACTGTTTTTGATAAGAAAATAATCTTGTCTCTGTCTTTTCTATCACATTTTACAGTTTTAATTTATATATACATATTTGTATGTGAATCTATTGAAAAACAGATTATGGATGTCAATTGCATTCATAATATTAACCATATTTGGGTGTCTCTAAATAGGGTAAAAATCGTCTTGTTTTTAAAATACATTTTCCTTGTTTTACAAAAAGGAAAGGAAACACTGTCAAGAGAAAATTTTGAATGAAAGCAACTGTATTGGAAGTTGTAGGGGAAAAAATCAAAAGTAAACAATTCTTTTCCCCTCCTTTTTTGCATCTTTTTTTAAATTATGTAAAGGGGGTAACACAACAACAACAAAAAAAGTCTTTATTAAAGCATTGAGACTAGACATACAGAAAAAAATCAATCACTTCCATTCACAAGAGTGTCTCAGTCTAGAAGGGAATGCCAAAGCCTTCCTAGTAAATCTTAACTCTATATTTAACCATTTCATAATACTACTAAAGTGTTTCTGAACATCCTCTTTTGTATTAGTGTAATACTTAAGAAAGCAAATATAAATTTTTATAGGAAGTCAAAAAATACTACTTATCTAAAATGTCATTCCTACTCTCCTATCCCTCCTGCAATATACATAGATGTAAAATAACCAGTTCAAAGTCAATACCTGAGTTTATTCAGGTAAACTGAATTTTCCTCCACCTTTCCATTATTAATTCTTAATGTCAGACCTGTCCCACTATAAACTATATGCAGGCAAATCAGGAAATGTGGTTCCACTGTAAAATCTTTCCAAAATACCTGTGTTTCCATTCCTTGGGTAAATAATTTCAATCTCACTGCACTGTGCAACATCCACACTCCTTCTAATTCATTATTCATGCCTAACCTTATTATATCCCAACTTCTGAACAAAATGCAAAATCCCAAGTGGATCACATTTTAAAAAATCAATTAGTTTCCTCTCATTACTCACGTGTCCTTTTTCCTTAGTGACTGATATCATAAGTATCAAGAAGGTGGTATCATCAGTCTCTATAGCAGTGTGATTAAATATGCTAAAATACTTCCTTCCTATTGCTGGTTTTCTCTCTAGTATAATATGAACAGTCTGAGATATAGAAATGGAGAGGCTACTTTTAAATTTGCTATCCTGTACAACAGGAGTTAGTTAGGTTACTTTTGCTACATGTGAAGAAGGTAAACTTACAGAAGATATTTAGAGGAGAATATAGATCTAATATTTTTTTAGGCCTTCCAGGAAAACTTTCACAAGCATTTTCCATGATATACTGAAGTCACCCAAACTGTTCAGTTCACTTTGTTCCTTTATACTTTTACATTATCCATGATAATCACATGCAGGTTATTTAATTTGACAATCAGAAACTTATTATTCATGATTTCTTAATACTGACTCTCTGTACAGTTCTTTATCATTTGTCTCAAAAGGGTGTTTGAAACTAGAGAGCTTTAGAATTCTTCCTTTTATTTCTAACCTTTGGTGAACAGAAAAGGAGATACAAAAACAATGTAGTCATTACACACTAGGGAAAAATACTCGCTTTTTGTAAACAAGCTACTCTCTTAACACAAAGAAACACTCGTCTTCCTAGTAGCAATGTATATTTTTCTGAGTATCAGAAGGATTTCTATTAAATCCTCAGCCACCTGCATCTGGAATGACAGATCTTCATTCTCCTAACTACCTAATCCTAGTGACTGGCACCCACTGCCAGTCAGAAATTTGAACTTAAGTTTAGCGTTTCCTCAAACAGGCTCTGAAGAGGTGTGGGAAATGAGGGAAGAAGAGGACAACAGGTACAAGCTGAACAAAATGGAGGAATAAATCGAGAAAAATTCAGGAGATGGAGTATTCTTCTTCTAATGTGAGTATGGTGACCACTGTGCAAGCAGTGCACATGATGTAAAACAGAGCAAAGGACTGGCTTTTCCACAGCATCTCTTCCAAAGCGCCATGAAATCAACCCTGAGGGGCTACCATGGGTAGTCATAACAGAAGGCTGAAACCCATAAAGAATGAGTTGCAGCAGAGCAGAGTTGCAGCTGCAGCAGAGGCACAAGTCCATGAGGAGGAGACCTCTGAGTTTCTGCCTGTTCCTAAAGACAGAATTTCCTCATCTCAACCAATGGAGAAACGCCTTTCTTTCAGCAAAGGTATTGACGATAAAGCCTCTTTAAGGAGACTCTTACTGAGATCTCTCCTTTTGTGATCTATTTTGCTGCACAGACCCTGATTATTAGTACTGTTTTTTAAGTATTCACATTAAATATAAAATGGACTGTGTGTTTTAAAGCACTATGTGTAAATGCATCAGAAACCAGGACAAATGTGTGTAGCACTATAAATATATCTCTATGTATCCCACCCCTGAGATCACAGGATCTAAACAAGAGAATTTGCACTTAAGTAGAAGATAGGAATTTATCAGGAAGAAATAGAAAAGACAATTAAAAGAAAGGAAGAAAAAGACTCAATAACATTTCCAAACACTCACTCACAGTTCCTTTTCTTTCTGCTCCAACACTACTAAATTTTATCTAACATATTTTACATGCATATAATGCAATTTGCATTGGCATGTTCAAAGTTAGGTGTGGGCAGCATTCATTGAGGTTAGCTTCAGAAGAAACAGATTCAAGAGAAGATTCAGGAGTGGAATGGTCCATCAAACACTGAAGAAGTACTCTTCCTTGAAAGAATAGCAAAATGTTTTAAACACTCATACATAAAGAAGGAACAGACATGCAGAGCTCTGTGTGAAACAGAAGAAGTATAATTCAATCTGTACACAGTACAGTGCACTACAGTCAGGGTGTACCACACATTTAGGGTCTACACAACAATTTCATTCAAATGACATAAATGTGCAAACACATCTACACAGAGTAAATACCACACTGGCCAGTTATGGTCTGATACCACAAGCAATTATTAAAAATCCACAAACAAAACTGTCATTGTGTACGCCTGGTGATGTGCAGGGGTGAAAGGGTTCATGCTTGCACATATGCATGTGTTTGTTTAGGGCAAATTTTTAATCTGTTCTATATAGAGTAAGAACTATATTGACCCTGAAAAGGTTCCAAAGCTTTAGTTTTAGGATGTCTGAACAATTAACGAGTGGCATTAGCTGAGGAATTTGTTATTCTTTTGTTTCTGGTAGCCACTAGAAAGCTGAGATAAAAATAAGTTTACTTTGTTTTCAGACACTGTATTTGGTGAATGTTAGTTGTAATCCTGCTAATCTAATTTTGAACCAATATTACAAAAAGTGTCAAATGGACAAAAGGAACGTACTGAAACTCAATCAAAATGTTATAGTAATTCCCAGTTATACAAACAGAAAGAACCAGATCATTTAGTAATGACACATTAAGTGCTTACTTACCATGTTCAGCAGTTTCAGTGTAGAAACATTATAATTCCATGTTGCTGACAAAAATTCATTTGTCTTCTCTCCTGTAAGTGAACGTCTTCTGCATTTGGAATATTACACAGAGCCTAGGAGGGCTTATAGGCTTTGTGCAAGTGGTTGCAGAGTGAAATATATACTAAAATGTAATACATGTGATTATTATTGGTAGCTGAAAAAGGGGTCAACTCTACTGTCTCTGTTGCTCACCTGAGAATGTCTGGCGCACTGCTTACCATGACCAAACAATTGCAAAGAAAGACGAGAAAAAATTTGCTAGACCAAAAAGTCCAATCTCAGTATGACACTTTTCCCTCATTCTTTATTCTTCTCGGCTGTTGTCTTCTGAGTGCACAGAGTTTCCTGCGCACTTTTTGTACCTGTTGGTAACACGTCAGGTTGGTATCATACCTACCCTAGTTGTTTTCACTTTATTCCCAGAGGAACAGCTCCATCCCTTCCGATCTGGAAGAACTTTACATTCTTCCCCTTCAAGACATGGTTGCATGTGGCACCACCATTTCTGCTCCACTATTGAAGCTATAAGAGAAAACAAACACATCTGCTTGTTCTTGAAATGGATACTTCAGTATGTCATTATGTTGCATCATCTGTTTTAGTTTCCAGGAGAATCTTAGAAATATATTGACTGACAGCTATGCTGTGATTTGCAGCCAGTGTAGAATCTGCATAACAAAATAAGTCTCAGTGGTGCTGCTTGCCTGCAAGTCAATCTCTTTACTATTTTTCCCTTTTTAGCTGTACTTCTGGAATTAATGTCATAGCATTTCTTTACAGTCCTCATTTTTTCTTGTGCCAACAGATCTAAAAGTTTTAAGCAAAGATTCTTCTTTTCGGTTGTATGTTTTGCAGTGTAGTATAGGCTGATTAATTTTTTTCCTCAAAGTTGACATATTTACAGCTTTTTTGATGGTGAACAACATACCAACAGTAAACATTATGTAAAGGGTGAATCAGTCCTGCTCCTCTTTCAGAAAAAGACACATAAAAATGAGCCAGTATTTTCCCAAATAAAACCCAAGAACCTATGCCACGTTTGTAAGGAAAACATTAATATCTTAGTGTGAATAGAAAGTTCTCTAAAAAGTGCTGGTATAAAAAGACCATAAATAAGCCAGCATTCTGTTATCTGTTATATATTTGTTTGTTTCTTTCTCTGTGTTAAAAATAAAGTGTAAGTCTACAGTATATGAAAATTATGTAGATTTTGCATAAAAACTTTTAATTCACTTTAATTAAGTGAATTTGATACAACACTGAGGGCACTCTGTAAGTTAGATCAAATTTAGCTTCTCAAGAGGTCTCCTTCACTGGCATCTAATAAATTTACTTAGCTTTTCTACAGAGTAATATCAAATAATTATTTTTCCTTTCTTCCTCATATTCACCTTGGGCATGCCCTTCAAAATGAGCCTTCCTACTCGTACTTTAAGTATTGCTAATAGCAATGGAGTGGTTCTCCTTAATGATAATCCCCTCCCCTCCACCACCTTAGGAAGATACAGCAAAAGGAAGCAATAGAAGGAGTCGCACCATCAACACAAGAAGGAGCTGCTCGGGTGGTACCTGCTACCTGCCCAGGGAAGCAGGAGCACTTCACCGTCTGCGACCTTTCTTCTATCTTGTTCTTATTACAACATCTGTGGAGCGCCACCACTTCACAGGTCCCAGTTTTAACATGGTGAGCTGTGCAAATAAGAAGATGCATAATTGGATCACATTGCTATGCAGCATCATACTGTTTGTGACATTTTTAATTTGAGATATGTTAAACATATCTATAAGGCAATCTGCTATGCGTGAAAGTAATATTACAATGGTACTAACACTAAAACGTAAAGCTGATCTCTATGTTTAGTTTGTTTGTTTATTGAGGCAGAAACCTTGAAATAAAAGTGTTATAAACTTTAAACACACTCCTGTGTTTTCAGAATCTTGGTCTCAAAACTTTTTGTCCAGGACAGATGCAGATTTTGATATCCTACAATATCTGTCCATCCATCCTGGGATGGACAGATTGGAAAAGATCCAGTGACAGTCCTCAAATGAAAAGCAGAAAAAAATATTACTAAGGAATCACATTTAAACCTGGCACTGTAAATAAAGTCTGGGAACATGGGGAATGTACTTTTCAAACACAAGGGGCAACAGGACAATTTGCATTATCCATTATCCAATATCCAAGATAAGGCAAGAAGAGTATCCAATATCCGAGATAAGGTAAGAGGAGAAAAAAAATGCAAACTACCCTTATATTCAGCAGTTAGTTAACAACAGTTCTGCAATTTAGAAAAAAATCATTTTGAAAGAACTTTCAGTGGTCACTAAATACATACATAAATAAAGAAAAATAAATCAAAAAAAAAAAAAAACAGTCCAGGTATCTCTGGGGACAGTTCATTTCCTGTCTATTTGGAGGAGGAGAAAAAGAAATATCAGCTTTTAGCTGACATTGACATACAAACTAGTAAAGGAAGAAATCTGAATTATGGGAAGCAAAAGACTTTTTAAGATGATATCTAAGTCCTTTTCTTCCTTCAGCTGCATAATATTTTGAAATCTTTTTGCAAAGCCTGTGTATTACATGTTTCAGCTACTTATATAACCCTAGAGGCAAAGCATACATGAGAGCTTCCTCAGGGAGGAGGCACTACTGAAGGGCTTACAAGGACCCAACACTGATCATTTCACCCACACAGATCTAACTGCACCCTGTCACCTCTCGAAAGGGCCAGCATGAAAAATAATATTTGAGGTAGGATGTGTCTAGGGACAAAGGCCACAGGCATCGGTACAGTCACTTAGATGAAAATCATGATCTCAGTCCTCATCCAAAAACAGAAACTACTAAAATTTTCATTCAAGCACTTATGCAATTTTCACGAGAACAAAGTCTGCGATCTCTGTAATCACTTGCTGCAGCGCACTATGCCAGGTTAGATTATGCTCTTCGGTATCATGTCATTCTACAGCTGGAATGATATAATGCAAAGCAACTACTTAAACCACAACATGTCGCATTGTGATACACTGAAATGTGATACATAAATCAGAAACCTAAAAGAAAAAAATCTCCTTCTGCGTATTTTTTTTAATGATTAAGCTTTTTAATTCAATAGGTGAAGAGGAAAGCATTATCTGTATGAACTTTGCAGTATCTGGTATCTTCATACCTTTGAGAGAGGCTAGATAAACATTTTTACAGCTAAGAGTGTTTTCTGCTATAAAAATTATTTTTATTTATATTTCAAACAGTTACACAGGTGGATCTTCCAAGGGAACAATTTTAATAATTGCATTCATTTTTTCTCAATATAACTTTTAGAATTTTTTAAATTACCTTTATTAGTTAATATGGTAAAAAATGATTCTACATTATAATTCTGTATAACATATACTAGAAGAAACAGATTCTGCTTTTGTAAATTTGCATTAATCCTTATTTTGATAGGCAGATATCCATTTTATACCACATATGCTGGCACAAATTCACCAATTTGCTATTTATGAGGTATATAACAAAACAGACATAGAATCTACAGAAAAGGAAGTAACTCTAGTGAGTGGTAGGGTGTGATCTTGTTCTCAGTTTTTCTCTATATTAATTTTCAGTCCTTATTTGTATTCTGTTCTGTCCCCCTGATTCTGAAATTTTGTCTCCTTGGGTCTCTTATTAAACAGCTTTACACAACTCCACTAAGTCTCCAGAAATGCCATAATATACCTGCTAAGAGAAAATAAAGTACTAATTATGTGCTCCTTTAGCCATCTGGAATGGAAGTTGGTTAAAAGAGTTGCTGTAAAATGCTGTAAGGGAAAAGTTCATACTGAAACAAAACTTCTGAAAGTCTCGCTTCATGCTAATTAGGGAGAGAAAATCAAGCATTTTAAGACTTCTATGGGAAAGCAGTCTAATTAAATGAAATGGTCACTTACACTCACATACAGTAGGGCATAGCATTTCTAAGGGTGAAGACATAAAAATGGAATGGAACTAAAAAAAGGCATGGGATAGATAGTATTTTAGGGAATCTTTAATAAACGTACTTTGAAGTTTTCTAGATATAATAATAAAATAACCTGGAAAAGTATACTAAGATATTTCAAATATTGAAAATCTAGCCCAGCTCTCGTCTAGTTTCAATTCACCATTTGGAGTATGCTAAGAATATTCCTAGAGAACAAATGTAGGGATTTCAGCTCCCTAGCTATCAAATAATTAAGTTCCAGTGCAGTAAATACAATATCTGTCACACTTACGTGAAATGAAAGCCTCTATACATTAGATAAAATATTTTCCACAATCTAATACAAATTAACTTCATTAAACCACTAAACCATTCCTTCATGAGATTCACATTCGGGGTTTGCTTCTTATTCTCCTATCACAGACTTCAAAGTATGCTGCTTGTTACGCAGAAAATATTTGAGGAATTGAATGTCATTCTGGAATCCTGAAAAAATTCATTATTCAAAACCACTGCAAACACTCAATCCTGCAATCACTACTAATGCACATAATACTTCCAGAAATCAATGTGAAAAAATACTGAAGAGACGCAGAGAGGTATTATACTATAAGTGTTTTAATATAGATGTGTACAGACTGCGCAGTTTATCCAATAGTTACTTATACCAATTCCAGAAGATATAGCTCTGTAATACTATAATGACTTGGAAAACAGAAATAATAATATTTTTCCTGTTAATAGTATAGCCTATAATTAACCTGTCACTGTTATAATATTTTTCAGGTACTGAAATGGTCAGTGGCTCTCACAGAAATCAGTATGATATTGATATATTGAAGATGTGTTTGCAACTATACACAAATACACAAATCTAATATTAAATCAAGGAAATGTAGTCTTCTGAATTCCATTGTTCATAAGATTTGATAACCTTTTTTTAGCAGCCGCTTACAAAACTATAGCAGCAGTCATAACACTATATTCATAGTCTAACTATATTCATAGTTCTGATACCTATCTGCTAGGCCACTTGAATCTATTATTGGCTGAAAGTTGAGTAGGTCACACACTAACATATACACTGACCATTAACATCAAGGAAAAGATTGTGTTGCCTTGGACTACAGGAAATTGTCATAGCTTCTACCTGTCCTTGGGCCCAGGGCTCCTCACCATCGTAGTAGCCACTGTACAAACACAGAATGAGAAAAAAAATCTCCAAAATGAAGCTCTTTATTTATATGCCCTGTGAAGATGCAGGTACAGTAGTTGGTGATACCGCCAAATCAGTAGGAGCTACTCAAAAAGGAGAATGCCTGGCTATTTTCTCACACTTTTTCATCCCTTGCTTGCATTGACACTGCCCTTGGATGGTCCCTATGGTAAGCCAGGGATTTAGACTGGCAAAAGGACATCCACATTTTCTTGTATGATTAATTCTCGGAAGAGTAAGCTCCTACAACAGTCTGGATGCAGTGACTGCAGAGTAGTCTCTGCTGGAGAGCAGCAGCAGGAGCTTGCAGTCTTGGGCACACAGACAGGGAGCTCCATCACCTCCTTCTGTGGAAACCAGCTTCTAGAACACCTTAAAAGTGCTGCAGGTCTGCAGTCTTGCCTGCAATTTATTTGCTTCATTTTATTACATTCCAGGTTCTTACTCTGTGATCAGATAATATGTGATGAGGTTATTTCAAGTGTGCAAAGCTTTGCTTGCATGTGTCTGCATGGTTTTCTTAAGCTCTTCACAAAATTAGAGACCTGGTTGAAACAAGAAGCAACAGATCAGCAGCAAGGAGATGAGTGAAAATGTCTTTTAGCAATGAATTTCAATCCAAATTACATTTCATATCATGTACACTTGGGCATCTTTGCCATCTTGGGTATAATCAGTAAGATGTCCCATACGAAATATTATAGTGATCTAGTCTTTCAAATATTCACATAAGTACTCTTTATTCATGTAAACCTTAACCACATTAACCACATGAGTAATTACTTTAAGGCTATAACGGAAATATGCAATTTTTTAGTAACCATCTGCAAGGGAAAGCACATAATATTTCAGCAGATTATCAACCTGCTTCATCCTTTTGGCGGAGTGATTAGACAATATTCTGTACCGCGGATTTTAAACAAGTGTGTGGGGGTGGGGACAGGGAGAAATAAATAAAATCAGTGGTTTGAGTGTACCATTTCCCAAATTTGGCCACTGTACTACTGTTAAACGGTCTGGAAAAAAAGCGAGCTTTTCTGCGCAGGCTATTTGCTTTGTTCATGCAGATTGACATGGAAAACAACTGTACAATATCCCTCTATACTTCAGCAATTTCAATATGTCACATCAGTCTTAGTGTCACTGCAGATAGGAAGCATACAAATTAACTTGCAAAATCTCAGTCTCTCTCACACACACAGTATTGCATTTTTTCAATAGTTTAATAAGTATTAGCTGCCACATCTAAGCAATCAAAATCTTATGAAACTACAGCTAAGCCAAGATTTAAAAGCTTTCCCTTTAAAGGCCAGATAAAGACATACAAAAAGAAATATATTGACTAGCTCCTTCACTCGATTAATTTCAATTTCCTTCTTTTATATATCCACCCTACAGCAAGTAAGGAAGAAACAGAATTTAATTTAATCAAACTCTACAACCGCCAGTGTTGATATGGCTGCAGTTGTGATAATCTAAGAATATAAGAAATATGAAGTTTT